ATAATGAAAAATCTGCATAAATGATTGTCTATTTCTCGCATTGTGATAAAACAATGGTACATAGAGCCATCGAATTTTGAATGACGAAATCCTACTGCTAATATGGGCATCTGAAATCCCAAATTTGGAATTTGTTTTATTATATAGATTTTATATTTTGTAAAACTTTAAAACGAATTTTTGATTTACAAACTCAATGCTTTAAAAGCGAGAAATGGCAACGTTATATATAGAAAAAAAAAATACTTTTATCTCCAGCTCGCGAGACTGTGTATATCGGTAATTCTAAAGATATGCTTAATTTAACATTATTTTGCGATATTTGCTCTTGAACTGAATTTTGTGGTTTAAGTGCAAAGAACATGATATTTAATAAATAAAGGTAACACTCAAAACGTTAAAAAAACGCCCCTTTGGACGTAATTTAAAATCTGAAAAATTTCAGATTTTTATATTATTATTATTATTATTATTATTATTATTATTATTATTATACAAGTGAAATCAAAATTTTCTCAATCATATGCTAAAAGTAAGAGGAAGAATACGTGAAAGTGAAAAACATGCTAATACTCTTTATTATAGAAGATAGTAAGAAGAAGTAAATGCATGGAATTATAGGAAATACCTATACTGAAATCCTTAGTTCGAGATTACTAAAATGCATTTGGTTTTGTCTTACTTCCGTCTGCTCATTATCCTTTCGCTCTGCACATCACTTCACCAGTGTTTAGCGGTTAAGAGCATAGTATGTTGGGAGTTTGACCCGGATTCGATTCCAGCTAATCATGCTTGCTACATGATTGATTTTTGTCCCGTTTTTCATGTGTAATGTGAATATTATCCCCTGTATGTGCTCAAGACTCGCCAACGACATGTGTAATCTTACTCTCCTTGCCACAATGAATTTTGTAGGGTTGTTCTGATGATACTGTGAGCAGTGCGTGCTTAAATTACGTCGGAGCCCACCGGAGCTCGGTTTTAGTGCTTCTCAGTTTTGAGATGATAAAAATCGATTCCAACTTTTGAATACATAGTCTTTTCCTCGATGGAAAACAAAACTTTTGACACAAGTTGAGACTTTTAAGGAAAGAAAAGCCTTCACAAACACGTCAAAGCTCCAAGAAGTGCAATGAATTTACGACAGCGAGTAAATTGTTCGCTCTCGAAAGCACTAGAAAAGATCACCACGTAGATCGTACACGTCCAATGCAGAATGATAGACATTTTAGAAAGATATTACCAAATACGGATTATGAAATTGTCACTTATAATGAGCGTTACGTTTGTCCTCACCTAATCCTCAATTCGGGGGAAATTTTAGCCCCTCTCACATTTTGCTTGAAACCTACAATTATATCAGCAGGAGATCGTTCTCAGGAAGTCTTTGACTCTTCTCTCTTTGTTTTCATACCTATTAATCCACTATTAATATTCCTCCCGGTACTTTGTTAATGTTTATGGTATTCTCCCTATTCTCATTAATGAAGCTTTAACCGTTAAAACATTTTTAATTGGTGTGCTCCAAAAACAATGGTGTTTGCTTCTACCAACATTGAAATAATATATTATGCAGTATATTCAGGTCTTTAATTCAGCAGGAGCCTGATCCAGTTATTTCTTAGTTTTTAAGTGAAACTAATTTTAGCCGGAGCTTCAAATAAAATGAAGTTCGTTACATTATTTTATACGCTTCTAGTTAAATTACATGTCCTTGGCAACTAGAACTTTGAAGAACAGTATAGCAGTTATTCGCTGGTCTTCTTGCAATAACAGTGTCCAAAGAAGGATTAAAATTTCCTTTAATTCAACCCAAAGAAATATTTAACAGTTAGCCACTCTCGAGCTTACAGGAAAGTCTCCAATTCGGCTTAAGATCGAAAATGAGAATCTAAACTAATTCTAATTAACTAAAATTTAGCCTAAGCTGTACAGATATAACTAACCGAATTGGCCCGTTTTTAATGTTCACCGGCGAATATTAACAGGCACGTAAGATAGGCTTAAAGCAACGACGTAGCCCGAAAGGCAGAACACGCTATACTGAGAATTTCTAAGCCTCTCCCACGTAACTGAAGTAACTGAACTTCCCATTAACTACTAGTCTTAACTGATTAATATAAACGCATTACTGAAAACTCCATTCTAGCATCGAGTTGTAGGTGGGAAACAAAAATTTAAAGGAAAGGGTTTAAAAATTAAAAACAACTATTAGAAAATTAATTGCTAGAATTTTATTATTTCATAATTTAATAAATTTTCATTTATCTTAAAATTAGACAAAACAGTAAACTTATTTTTTTCTTCAGAATTCTATTTACTCCCGAAGAAAAGGGATATGTATTTGATCGTCCTCGAAATCGATAGTTACCTCAAAATAAGTTTGCTCTTTCCCTAATTTTGAGTTTTACATTGATGTGCTTTTTTTCAGTTTTTATTTATCCCTTTACAATTTATTGAATTTTAATGAATTAATTATTTGATAATTATTTAATCATTAATTACTTGTTGTATTATATTATGTGTTATTTTTAGCTCAAAGGAGCGTTAGCTCAGAACGGCTATTAAATTCTTTTTGGCATTTTACGTCGATTCACTTTCTGCGCTGATTCACTTTTCAAACTGTTGCCACGAAATTCATGTGTGTATGTTTTCCCCATTGTGATAAAACAACGGTACCTAGAGCCATCAAATTTTGAATAACGTTATCTTCCATCGAATATGGGCGTCTGGAAGCCCTAATTTGGAATTTGTTTTATTACCTATTTCCTATTTAGTAACTCTTTAACGAATTGTTTATTAACAAACTCAACGATTTCAAAGCGAGCAATGGCAGCACTGTACGAAAAAAAATTACCTCCAGCGCGCGAGACTGTGTATCGGAAATTATAAAGATACGCTCATTTTAAAATTTTTTTGTGATATTGCTGTTGAATTAAATTTTATGGTTTAATTATAAAGAACATGGGTTCCAGGAAAAAAGCCCACAGGAAAAAAGCCCACAGAAATATCCCACATAGAAAAAACTCACATGGAAAATGCTCACTTGAATATACTCACACGGAAAAAGCTCACATAGAATATGTTCACATGGAAATAAGCCCACTGATAAATAATCACGTAGAAATATCCATACATAATAAATCAATATTATAGATTTGAACATCGTACACCTACTCTATTTTCTAAAGAACATTATTTAAATTACCAAAAGTTTTTGAAATATATCCATAGGTATATATTTCAAAAACTGTATAACTTATGTACAGATTCAGTTGCTATATAAGATTGCTATTAATTATGGGCCGTTTTGAATTAAGAAAAGGAGAGGAGGAAGGAAGGAAAAATCAAAGAGAATGTACGGTGAAAAATTATTATAATTTTGATTGTTAAAAAAATAAAATAATAATAAATATAAGTTACACCCGGGCCGCTCAGAGAGTTAAAGGGAAACTGAGGATGAGGGGACACAATCGCCAAATCCCAGTAGTAACTAATCGTAACCACCCTTTTTATTTTAGGGGCTGTTTCTAGGGTTATTAAGTTTTTTTGAAGCAGGAGAGAAAAATGTGCAGTGCTTTTACTAGAAATCAAAACCTGGACCTCTTGAATGCGTGTTGAGTATGCTTTCAGTTAAATCACGAAAAGGAGGGAAAAATACCTTATAAAACAATAATTAAAGATAAAATCGCTGCAAATATTGGACTGAGTAACAACATGCACTAACTAAAGACAAAATGGTCTAAGTAAATAAATAAATAAATAAAAATTATCAGAAAAAATAAAAGTATATAAAACCCAAATTATAAACAAATAAATCCAAATGGTTACAAAAATTTATATCATCATGAAGTATTAAGCTGGAGTTTTAATAATACAGAATCGAAAGAGAACGTAACACATGATACTTGGCTATATTTTTGGCGCAAATTTTAATTGGCTGTAGATGAACGTTAGATTAAAGTTTCACACAACCAAGGACTTAACTTCGTCAACACGTTAGGCTGGAGGAATCAAGCAACAAATATTATTTCTTTTAAATCTCTAATTTTCTTTTTTGTTTTCTTCAGCTCATTATAATTAAGGAATCTCTGACGTGAAGAAGTTGAAACTTATGAAAGGTTTCTGAATTAAAAGTTTCTTTAGTGTGTCTTTCTACTATCAATAAAGAGGAAAAAAGAAAAATACGTGAAGTTTTCTCAAATGAACGTAAAATCATCTTGTATTTCCTTTCCTTTCCTTTCCTTTAAAGTGTTAATAACGAAGGGGCATTTTGGCCCCCCTAAAAAAGTCTGATGTGTTTAACGAAGGAATTACTTTGACAGGCAGCCGGGAGATGCTATTGCTTTTAGGGGTAATTGTGCTCAGCACACCGCTTTGATGAGGCTGCTGAGTGGGTACCTGAAATGCCTTAAATTTGACCGGGAAAATAAGATCTACTCCATTTATGGGAAATGTAATACCGATCATTTCACTTCTGAACATCTCACCTGTATAGGACTTGCAAAAGAGGACTTATTGAAAAGACCAACTTTCGTTTCGGATTTATTGACGGCTCTTGGACTCATGGATCTAGTCTAGCCTAATGGATAACCAGTTAGAATCAGTAAAAACAACAATCAGCAAAACGAATGAAATATATATCGTTATTTTGAAACCACGGGATCTATTTTCCATTTCACAGTTTAATCTATGCTTTTAAAGTATATATGATGTGTGATTTAAATATTCAGAAGATATGTTCTTAAAAATAATATTTTTAGTTAGTCTTCTGCATTTCAATGTTTTTACATAGTGTTTCTAGCGGTGAAAGAAAAAAAGAAATACAATTGTGCTACATATCTGTCTGTTCAATATTCGTGTACTTTTGCTTTCACAGACTAATAAACGTACTCTGAATGTTGATAAATAAAAGAGCTACTAAAAAAGTAATTTTTCATGACGTAATATTTCTAAACTTGGAAACATTGAATGCAATGCAAGAATTAACTTCATTTCAGGTATGAAGAAATGCCATGAAATTGCGAGTAGTGAACCACTGAAGAAGATTGGTTCAAAGCCTTTTTCTACAGTCGTTCCTGGATGTGAAGATTATATATACGATGATGATAAATATTTCCGCTGCATCGCCGAGTCAATTGTTGTCACACTGAATCACCAAGTAGGAACAGCGAAGATGGGCAATCCGAAAGATACATCAACAGTAGTAGATCCAGAATTGCGGTGAGTATATTTCGAGATTGAATTAATTCCTTGAAACTCGTTTTGCCATTATCTTCCATTTTGCTCTGCTGTTTTATTGCGTTACTCTGTGGTCTTTTTATAACTGTAAATGTAACTTTTAATATGTACTTATGTATCTTTCCAGTATGCCTTAGAATGTTCTTGAAGAAACTAAAGCACTTTTCAAAATCTTTCCAAACGTCAGTTGGTTAAGTCGTTAATATGCTTACGCCGATGGCCAACGTAAGAGTTGGTGGAAATCCTTTAAACTAACTTTATCCAATGAATGGAAAATTTTACATTTGCTCCTCGACAAAGAGTCTGCGAATTCATCAGTATTTAAACACCATAGCTTAATTTGAGAATTAAACATTAAATACGAAATCTTAAGAAATAAATAGCAAATAAATTTTCGTCTTTAGATACATAAATTTGTGTCACCTTGTCTTCATTTTCACTTCATTTCTCCAATATCTACTTGTCAATCCTATGCAATGGTACCACGCACGACAAATGCTTTGCACAAGAACATCCTCCCATGACGCTCTGCACATAGATATCGTCACAGATTATTAATGCGTTAAGAGTTAAATTTTATTTTCTGTTTTGGAAGCGCGTTAATGTAGAAAATACGTAATGTATTGTTACGGATTTGGTATTTAAAAAGCTAATGTTAGTTCAATTATAAATTAAATGGTTTTATTTCTCGCGCAGTGCAGCGCGTGACGAATATTAAAAGAAAGCTAAGCAGGAAAATTGAAAATACAAGAGCGCGTGCATTAAATAAATAAATATCTCTTTTTGATTTCGAGAAAGTACCGGAAAATTCTAGCGCGTGATTTTAAAATCTTATAAAAGGAGGAAAACATCTCAGTTCGTAGTAGTTGCTTAGTTTGTTGTTGTTTAGAAAACTGCTCTTGTTGATTGTAGCGAATTCGCGGATTAGCGTTCTTTAGCTGTTTTGAATTACGTTCTATTGGACATTTGAGTAGTTAAAAGATAACTACTGTGAGATATTGTAATACTGCATGATAATTTGAGAAAATTTAAGCATTTTTGTTGTGATAATAATAAATTTTTGTTCATTTTTCATCGGACTTGTGCATTCATTTCATAACGAACCCGTACGCACGCAACAATTTTTGGTGTCAGAAGTGGGATTTGAATGCCAATAACAAGAGCGATGGAAGAGCAATTAAGGCAGTTGATCTCAGCCTTTGCCTCGTTGAAAGAAGATATGAAATCTAATCAGGAAAGGATTGAAGCGGGACAAGAATCCGTTAAGGAAGAGATGAAGGCCATTCAAGCTGGTCAATTAACTTTTAAAGACGAAATAAAAGCCGTACAAGTAAGATTGAAAAAGTCAATACGAAATGAAAAGAGAAATTGCCTGCATAATAGAAACCAAATTCGATGCTATGGAAGGCAGAATAGATGTGGTTGAAAATAAAGTTGGAAAATTGAAGAAAAGGTTTCTTCCGTAAAAGGTCAAATTGAAAAAGAGTTTCTTCGGTGAAAGAAGAAATAGAAGAAAGAGTTTCTTCTGTAAAAGAACATATAGAAGAGCGAGTTTCTGCCGTCGAGCAACAAATTGATGATAGGGTTTCAGCCGTTGCGAAAGAAGTTGGACACTTTAAAGAAGAATTCATAGCGAACGAACGAAGCAATTCTGAGGGTTTTAAATTCTTACCGATGCCTGCTCGTCCATCTCTGAAGATATCCACATATGATGGGAAGACATCCTGGCAAGTGTATAAAACACAATTTTCTATCGTTTCGAATGCGAATGGATGGGACTCCCAAACTAAGGCCTGCCATCTCGCCGCTTCTCTGAGAGCAGACGCAGCGGATATCCTGCAGACTCTTCCAGAAAACCAAAGACTTGATTTCGAAGCTTTATCCGGCGCATTGGAATTGCGCTTTGGCGAGAAATGTTTAAAAGACTACAGCAGGCTTCAATTAAACTCCCGTCAACAGAAGCCCACCGAATCACTCCAGGAACTCGCCACAGATGTTGAAAGGCTGTCCCACTCGCCTTTACGGAGTGCCCGAGAGAAACGAGGGAAATCCTGTCCTGCAGTACTTTATCGATGGCATCCGGGATCCCGAAATACAGAAGGCTCTACGAATGGCGGATGTTAAAGATTTGAAAAGTGCTTTAGTGTACGCCATGAAATTCGAGGCAGCCCAGCAAGCCACTCATCGAGACCGCCACCCAGTCAGAGCTGCTCAAGTCCAGGAGCCAGGGGAATCAAGTCACTGCTCGTCTAGACGATTTAACTAGACAACTGAACGCCTTGAGACGGAATATTGGTGATAAGAAACCGACCGTTAAGTGCTGGAACTGCGGTGCTGAAGGACACATACGACGAAACTGCAGAACACCCCAGGGTACTTATGTTAAGACCGCTCCTAACAAACAGCAGGGAAACTAATTAGTGGCCATCTCGCGGGGCGGAGGTTGCCAGATAATGAAAAGCCCCAGTTTAAAGCGCTTCAGATTTCTGCAGTGAGAGGCGGCAGTAATGGACTTTTTGTAATAGGACATATTAATGGAGTTCCCTGCAATATGACAATAGATACAGGAGCCAACGTTACCATCATCCGAAAAGATTTGGCTCAACAATTGGGAAGCAAACTTATCTGGACGCCGCCCTGCGTTACCCTCCAGACTGTGTCCGGTGAGAAGATCGATATCGACGGGGAAAAGTGAAACGTTAACGTATCAGGTTTGGAAGTGCCGCTTACCATCACACGGCATATGTAGCAGACGTTCACAGATCCTTGCATACTCGGATTAGACTTTCTAAGGAAATATAATTTTTCCTTGGACTTTAAAAATAACGAATTGCATTCTGCGTCTGAGGACATAACGTTATTTGGAATTAATAATGAAGAAGTTAAATCTGTCCACAGAAATCATAGCACAAGACAATATCACAATACCGGCAAGAACAGAAATTTTACTTCCTGGATCCATAGCCGAAAATAGAGAATTTTCGCTACGGCATCATAGAATATCCCAATAACTGTAATACCCCGAAAGGAGTACTAGTAGCCTCAACACTCGTCGACCTATCGAGAACGGTTATCCTGGTGAGAGTTGCCAATGTAACTGAGAAAGGCGAGAGTTATTAAGAAAGGTGACGTGGGTTGCAGCATGTACTCCAGTAACCAGCGTTGAAAGAAAGAGTAACATCCCAGAATCCGTGTCCTCAGAGAGCATTACATCGGAGTTATTGCAGAATGCGCAATTAAACGATGAAGAGAAGAATGCTGCCGATCGCGTCATTAAAGATCTTCAAGTTGTTTTCTCCCCGCTCGTCTTCTGACGTGGGTCGAACTAGTTTGACACAACATAGAATCGATACAGGCGATCATCACCCCGATCAAGCAACATCCAAGACGTCCTACCGTTTGCTAAACAGGAAGAGGTACGAACACTTTTAAAGGATATGGAAGAAAGCGATGTCATCGAGCCTTCAGCAAGTCCATGGGCATCTCCCATCGTTCTCGTCAGAAAGAAAGACGGCTCAACAAGATTTTGCGTTGACTATCGCCGGTTGAATGAGGTTACGAAGAAAGACAGTTACCCTCTTCCTAGAATTGACGACATTCTTGGACACTCTTTCTGGAAGCAAGTGGTTCTCAACACTTGATTTAAAGAGTGCGTATTGGCAGGTAGAAATACACCCTGATGACCGAGAAAAGACGGCATTTACTACGGGACAAGGGCTTTGGCAATTCAAGGTGATGCCGTTTGGACTGTGTAATGCGCCGGCAACATTCGAACGCCTCATGGAGACTGTTTTGAAAGGTCTTTCCTACGAAGCCTGTCTGATATACCTGGACGACATCATCATCGTCGGAAAGAGTTTTGAAGAACATCTAGAAAATTTTAGGAAGGTGCTTCAGAAACTGAAAGAAGCCAATCTGAAGCTGAGTCCCGCTAAATGCAAATTGTTCCGAAAGGAAGTGACTTATCCTGGGACATGTCATCTCTGCAGAAGGTGTACGCACGGATCCTGAAAAGGTATCAGCGGTTAAATCCTGGACAACGTCCCGAAAATGTCCATCAGCTGAGAAGCTTCCTAGGGCTTTGCACCTACTATAGGAGATTCGTGAAGGACTTTTCTTCCATCGCAAGACCCCTTCACAAGCTGACAGAGAGCAAGCAAAAGTTCTTGTGGACAAAAGAATGCGAGGATGCATTTAACAACTTAAAGGAAGCTTTAACATCTGCTCCAATCCTGACGTATCCTCAGCTCGAAAGACCATTTATTCTCGACACGGACGCGAGCAATGAAAGTGTCGGTGCTGTTTTGTCCCAAGAAATAGACGGCCAAGAACGTGTAGTGGCGTACTGGAGCAAGTGCCTGTCTAAACCGGAGAGGAATTACTGTGTCACCAGGAAAGAGTTGCTCGCCAAAGCTGTAGAACATTTCCATCATTATCTATACGGCAGAAAATTCCTCCTCCGCACGGACCATGCCTCGTTAGCCTGGCTTTTAAATTTCAAGAATCTTGAGGGTCAAATAGCCAGGTGGATACAGAGACTCCAAGAATATGACATCACTATCCGTCATCGAAAGGGATCATCACACACGGGAAACGCCGACGCCCTGTCTAGAAGACCTTGCCCAGAAAGCTGCCGATATTGTTCCAGGGTGAGGGTGAAGCGAAATACGAGCTGCTGACTCCGGTCGCAAGACAAATTACAACATCAACATCGGCTGATCGAGACCCGTGGAGTGATGATGAAGTCAGGAAAGACCAGCTGGAAGACCGCGACATTAAAACCCATACTTGATTTAATAGAGTCATCAAACAGAAAACCTACATGGCAGGACATTTCTATCTGTAGTCCTACAACAAAACAATACTGGGCACTCTGGGATTCACTTCACATTCGAAACGGCGTCTTATACCGGAAATTCGAGTCGGATGATGGGAAGACGTTCCGATGGCAACTGATACTTCCAAGATCCCGGATTCCTGATGTCCTCAAAGAACTACATAACAGCCCTACAGGAGGTCACTTTGGAATTATGAAGACCTTACAGAGAGTTCGTGAGCGCTTTTACTGGAATAATGCAAAGGATGACGTGCAAAAGTGGTGCCGATCTTGCGATGCCTGTGCAGGTCGGAAAGGACCAAGGAAACGCAGCCGAGGCAAGCTGCAACGTTACAACGTAGGTGCGCCGTTTGAACGTATCGCCTTTGACATCTTGGGACCTCTGCCACGAACTGCTGATGGTAACAAATACATACTCGTTGTCATTGATTACTTCACCAAGTGGCCTGAAGCGTATCCTATTCCTGATCAAGAGGCTGTTACAGTAGCTGAGGTGATGATACAGCACTGGATTTCCAGGTTCGGGGTGCCTCTTCAGTTACATTCCGATCAGGGAAGGAATTTTACCTCGGTAGTAATCAAAGAACTATGCAAACTACTCGGCATTGACAAAACCCAAACGACGCCATTACATCCCCAGTCGGACGGCATGGTAGAGAGGTTCAATCGAACCATCCTTAATAACCTCTCATTAGTGGTTTCCAGAAACCAGCAGGACTGGGACAAGAAATTACCACTTCTTTTACTGGCTTACCGCAGTGCTGTTCGCGAGACTACCGGCTATTCCCCATCACAGATGCTCTTCGGTCGTCACCTTTGTCTGCCTTGTGATCTATTGTTTGATCGCCCTCCGGATTCTCCTTCATCGTCTGAGGAATATATTCAAGATCTCCAGGCCCGGTTTTGAAGTGATGCACAACTTTTGCACGAGAGCGAGTCAACTTGGCGACAGGAGAAGATGAAGACCCGATACGACACAAGAGCTACTGAACATCAATTCCACGAAGGAGACAAGGTGTGGTTGTGGAATCCGACTCGACGGAAAGGACTTTGTCCGAAATTACAGTCACATTGGGATGGCCCGTACACAGTCCTAAATAGGCTGAATGACGTCGTGGTTCGGATTCGTAAGTTTTCGAACTCTAAACCTAAAGTCGTTCATTACGACAGGTTAGCTCATTACTATGGCCATAGTACGTAATGTAAATAATTGTAAATAGTATAAGACCATGGTCCGTTTTGTTTTTAAATGTATATTTGATTTGATTTGTATTTAGTATTTGATTTGCATTTAGTATTTGATTTGTATTTGATAGCATTTGATTTGTTTTATTTATTGCATTTATTGTTCATGTTGTTCATTATTGTAATGTAATGCTTATTAATGCATGTATGCCACAGTTGTAAGTTTAGCTTCCTGTCCAGGGATTGTACTGCCCGGGACGTGCAGTCCTTGGGAAGGGGGCAGTGTTACGAATTTGGTATTTAAAAAGCTAATGTTAGTTCAATTATAAATTAAATGGTTTTTATTTCTCGCGCAGTGCAGCGCGTGACGAATATTAAAAGAAAGCTGAGCAGGAAAATTGAAAATACAAGAGCGCGTGCATTAAATAAATAAATATCTCTTTTTGATTTCGAGAAAGTACTGGAAAATTCTAGCGCGTGATTTTAAAATCTTATAAAAGGAGGAAAACATCTCAGTTCGCAGTAGTTGCTTAGTTTGTTGTTGTTTAGAAAACTGCTCTTGTTGATTGTAGCGAATTCGCGGATTAACCTTCTTTAGCTGTTTTGAATTACGTTCTATTGGACATTTGAGTAGTTAAAAGATAACTACTGTGAGATATTGTAATACTGCATGATAATTTGAGAAAATTTAAGCATTTTTGTTGTGATAATAATAAATTTTTGTTCATTTTTCATCGGACTTGTGCATTCATTTCATAACGAACCCGTACGCACGTAACAGTATTTATGCTCTTAAATATAAACTACCAACTAACTGTTCAATACCAGTAAAAGACTGCCGGAAAACTGCATATATAAGAGTATTATAACCAAAGTAAAATGACAAATAAATGAATTAATTAGCATATCAGCAGATCGACATGAAAATTAACAGAAACAGAACTTGACTCATTCGCAGATAGAGAAAGAGCTGAATACATCAGCATAGTTTTGCCTAAATTGGCTGCCCTTGATTAATCTTTCCCGAAGAACAATAACAAGCAACACTTTGGTAACAAGGTAATTTAGAAACATCAAAATTCAAAATAGAGCGACAAAGTAGATAAAGAGCTGCCAAATTGTTTAACAATTTTTCGCAATTTTGGGGCATCTTAGGAATGTGTTATACGCTTCAGTATAGTAATCTTGAAGAAACAACATTCTGTATAGTGAAGAATTCGCCATATGAATACTTTCTGAAACAGATTCATTTCGTCATGCAAGACAGCACTGTAATTAAATTTCGTGAACATTGTTGACGAATTTCTGATTATCACATTACAGACTGAAAAGGTTTTTGCCAACTATTAGTCAAATTCACTAAACATTTTTGAGAAATTTAGTTTCTATTTATTTTTGGCGAGATTTGCAATGAAAGAAATGCGATGTTATCAAGACAAAAAAATCAGTGATTCTATATTTATGTAATAAAAAAAGTAAAACATTAAAACATTTAAAAATATTTTTCCTTTAAATAAGACTCAGTAATTAAGGCTAATATGGAATAACTGTGGGCAATTTCGACTTGACCAAAAGTGCCATTATTTACATTGCAATGACTGGACTAATCGGGAAAATAATGCATCTGGATAAGTGGTTTATTTTTTTATTGCCTTAATATATAATTATTACATTACAAGTGAAGGTTTGTGTTACCAGACGTTTTTCAAAAATGTTATAGAATTAAAATTTTCTTATTTCCCAGAAACAAACAGGAAACATATTTCTTGACAAAATTAAAAGTGAAATTATTGCTTTATTTGCGTAAATTCACAACCTGTTTCTCTTTTAAATAAAATGCAACCATGATACCAATTTCTGCTAATTAGGATTTAAAAATTCGCTGCAGTCAAAAGAAATTGAAATAACATTATCATAATAATTTAATCGTAAAGAAGAATTTCTTCATCTCACGCAATAAATCAAGGAATAAATAAAAAACAATATTATTATATACAGTTCATGTAACAGTTTACCTTTTAAAGATTATGGACTACATATTTGTCGAAAATTCTAACCCACTCTGCATGGAATACACATTCGTCTAAATTAATATAACTTCTTAATTTTTTAATATATTTTGAAGCTATTTCATGCTGCTTAAATCACCAAAACAATTAAAAACACATACGAAACGCCAAATAAACTTTATTTTAATAATATATTTAGATAGTCGAAACTTTATGTGACGATCTTACGGACCTAATTTTCCATTCTTCTTTAATTCTGTGTTGTTGCATAGCATTGCAATTCTACTCTTCTTATATGTTTTGCTACGTAATAATGCAAATGTAACTTACATTTAGTAAGTTAGAATGTAAGTTGAACACAAGCTTAGTTACAAAATGTAAATGTGAGCTTTAGTAGATTTATAAGAGTTTCTCTAAATTTTCTTCAGCTGTGGATAGAATGTGTTAATGATAACTGGCGAAACATCTGTCGCCAGAGAGAAAGTATATTAGCATTGCGACTATTATCAACAAAAGATTGCTGCCATTCATGAGGTATTTGTAATTATTGAAACCTGTCTCCAAATGAAAATTAACCAGTTTCTTTTGAGAATTTCAAACATACATTTCTTTTTCTTTCTCTTTAGAGTGAAAATGGTTCATAATCTTCGTGTCGTGGATGCATCTGTCATGCCTCTGATCACAAGTGGAAACACTAACGTCCCAACTATGATGGTTGCTGAGAAGGCTTCAGATATCATCAAGCAGAATATTCATTGTGAAACGGAATATGGTGGATGGAACCCGAAAACCTTTTGGGGAACGTTGCATCAGTATTTCAAATAAGATTATTATCTACAGAAAATGGCTGCACGAGTGTCGCTTTGTCTGTCAGATATAGATTTATATAATAAAATAAGCTTTTGACCAGAATCATTTAATGCATTAAGTAAAATAATTTAATTTAAAAACACTAAAAAAAACTCATTCTCATATTTTACCAATGCATATAAATTCGTGTCTTATATCACAGGACGCCGATCCCTTTGTGAATCATAGCATGATAGGAATTCTGAAAAATAACTCATAATAAATGTTGAGTGTAACAGCCATTATTATCGAACATTAATCATAAATGACATAAGATGCGATTCTTGTTTGCATGCCTTCGGCTTCCATCCTGTTCCATATCTATACTGATTATATTCTCGTGGGACATGAGTGGGACACACAGATGGCACAAACGAGACAAGTGTTAATTGAGATAAAGAAATATCATAGAAAATATTTCATGGCATAAAGTCTTAACATTACAGCAAAATCTCTTGCGACCGGTATTTCGTCAACTGGTAACATCAAACTAAAGTGCTTTTGCAGGTCTAAATTTAAATTTCACACTTAAGTCTATAACATAATGAAATACATAATAAGATTAAAAAGTGGAAGACTTACACGCGGGAAACATTTATGATATGTTTCTGTTACCCTATGTAAAACTCTTATCCATCTAAATGAAGAGATAATCCAGGATATAAAGAAAGACCCAGAATGAAGCAATGATCCAGAATATTTCGATTTCTTTTTATGCATGAATGTGTGAAATATAAAGATAGTGGTCATGGGTTTTAAAAATAATTCACATTAAAAGATATCAAATTTTCTCTACCTGTTGCTTGCAAATATGCACACTACTCTGCGTCGTATTCGGCGTACGTTGTAGCCTCTGATCATGTTTGTAGAATACGAGTCGAGTGACGAAACTTCTGTTGGTTTTAAAACACGTCCTGCACTCGCGGCCGACGTCTAAGTTTCACTTTCATGTTCAAATTAGTATTAGTGAAGAAGAGGCGGAGGATTGGACGGATGTACCTAATTTGCAAAATTACGACGAAGTAATCACACTCTTGCAAGATTACGACGAAGTAATTTTTCATGTAATGTGGAAGGAGAAAAATGAGGAAGAGGAGGGGGAGAATAAAGACGACACACATAGCAAAAATGAAGCTTATGAAGGACTGCAGACTTAGATGAAAAATGTATTAGATTTCTGAGAAATATTGATGTATCTCAGTTCAGGATGTCATGAAGTTTTATTATATCCACAGCAAATTTTCAAAACTACGGTGCAGGGAGAAGTCGTAATGCTATGTAGTAATGATAAGTTTTCTGAAATACCAGGCACATCCAGAAAGTAAGTTTCCCGATGTTTTTCCCTTTAAAGTAATCGCAATTAGCTGTGTCAATTGCGCATGCGTAACATATCTATGACGTATCAATCATATGCCAGCCGGACAGGTCCCGCCTAGTGGCAGTAGCGTGGTAGCAGTAGTCCGAAATGGAAGCTCCTCCCGCCGCCTGTGAGGTTCGGTCGGTGATAAAGTTCTTCGATGCACAAAGCATTGCGCCAATTGAAATTCATCGTCAGCTTTGTCAGGTCTATGGGCCGAACATCATGAGTAAGCAGATGGTGCGTCGCTGGTGTAGGCAGTTTCGGAAGGTCGTCAAAGTGTCCATGATGAAGAGCGCAGTGGGCGACCGTTCCTCTTCAATGATGATCTTGTTGAGCTTGTGCGGCAACGCGTGACGGAGAACCTTCTCTTTATGATTACGGAGCTGAGCAGCCATTTTCCTCAGATATCGCGTTCCTTGTTGCATGAGATTGGCACTAAGCACCTGCTGTTCAAAAAATTGTGTGCCAGGTGGGTGCCGAAAAACCTGACACTCGAACACAAAATTGAACGCTTAGGAGCAACACTGACATTTCTGCAACGGTTTCACGATGACGGCGACGAGTTCCTCTATAGGATCATCACGGGCAATGAGACTTGGATTTCGCACTTCACCCCGAAAACCAAGAAGCAGTCAATGCATTGACAGTACAGTGGATCTGCGGTCAGGACGAAATTGAAACAGACGCTGTCGGTACGGAAAGTGATGTGCACGGTGTTCTTGGACAAGAAGAGTATTTTGCTCATTGAGTTCCTTCCATGTGGTGAAACAGTAAACGCTGACCGTTACTGTGAAACACTGCGGAAATTGCGCTACACTGCCATTCAAAACAAGAGGCGTGGAATGCTTACTGCAGGTGTTGTGCTCCTCCATGGCAGTGCTCGTCCACATACGGCTCAACGCACAGCAGCTGTTTTGACGGAATTTGGCTGGGAGTTGTTTGATCATCCACTCTACAGCCCTGATCTTGCTCCTAGCGATCTTGCACCTCAAGAAATTCCTGTCGTCCGGGGAGCGTTTTGGGAAGGACGAAAAGCTGAAGACGTCTATCACACGCCGGTTCCATTCACAGGCGGCAGAGTTCTGCGACAGAGGGATACAAATGTTTGTAGAGTCATTAGGATTTTTTTGGAAGCCAGAGAGATGAAAAAGAAACAACCGCCTTCGCCGGGAATCGAACCACGGACCTCTGGAATACCGGCCCAGCGTGATACCGTTACACCACGAAGGCACGCTAGCGAAGTGGGAGAAAAACCTTATATACTCCCCTTTTTAAAGGGCGACTAGGGTTTTAAGGGACCTAGTCGCCAAGTCCTGGGTGCGGAGAATCGTCATCCACAACCCTCTTTTTAGTTCGGGGGCCACTTGTAGAGTTATTAGGTTAATTGGAAGCATAAAAGATGAAAAATATGCAACCGCCTTCGCCGGGAATCGAACCACGGACCTCTGGAATACCGGCCCAGCGTGCTGAACCACTACAGCAAGAAGGCACGCTAGGCAAGTGGGAGTAATACCTTATAAGTTGATCCCGCGATACGACAAGTGTCTCAATTCTATGTTGAAAAATAGCCGAAACATTTCTGTATTTGTTTCTAATAAATATGTTCCTAAAAGTGTGGGTTATTTTTTTAAAAAACAGGGAAACTTACTTTCTGGATGCCCTACGTATAAAATGTGTTTTAATTAAAATAAACCTGTACGATTTTCGATGCTCTTTATTCAACTCATTGCATGCGCGAAACCCACTTTTACGTTTTCTGAAGTTTGTCACTAGAAAGCGTGTTGCTTAAATGTACGTGTTTAGTAGATTGACGCTGGACAGCGGATATCGTATAAATACGATGAGCATTGTATGTATGCATGGTGTTTGCGTGTGTCGATTTATTGCGATTATACAGAATAAAAAAAATCTCGCAAAATTCACACACACACACACACACACACACACACCAAAAAAAAAAAAAGAAAGAAAGAAACGCTAGACGCGTAAGTCCGCAGCAAAATATACCCATATGTAGTGTGTTAATTGCGGCCGATAGACAAAATATGCCTATCAGATGGACTTCATAATATATACAGATGCGTCACAAAACATGACCATGTAAGTTCTAGAAATGTATACCTAGTAATCTGAAAGCTTCCCTTATCGATTTCGACATTGGCAAGTTACCTTATTGTATTTTTAATAGAAAGACCTGTATACAAATCAGATATTCTTAAAAATATTTTGTATTTAACCAAAAATGTATAGTTTGAATATTCCCCTTATGAAGCTATCCCGTTTAGGCTTTCAGGGTTTCTTCTTGCACTTTATTCATAATCCAAACATAAAATTGTAAATTTTGTATAAAATATAAATTTTGTATAAAAATTTAACTTCGATTTCATTGTCTCAATTCTGAATGTGGATTTCTTCTTGAGTCACATATTTTTCATAAATGAAAATATACTTTCAGCAGGTCCAAAATTTCTGGCAAAAAGATATTCTATAATATTGCAAAACATCCTTAAAATCACGGATATTTTCAGTCATTTAAAAAAAACCTTCCGTACCTGCCTATCACATATGGGAATATTCTCTTTATTCCAGATACATTCAACTGCCTTATAACTTTTATCATTCTTAAATGTCGCAGGGATCACTACTGTTAGGTACGTATAAGTTCATAATAGTTTGAATGAACATGAATCAGATGATAGTATGATAGATGGTGGATATTGATGGCAGTCTCTAAGAGTTCCTTGCTGGGTTGTCTCGAATTTTGTGACGTACACTAGACAGCTTTTTAGATCCTCCATAGCCGCCATTCACAGGGTTTTCTATATCTCAGAATCCCGGATACCATGAAGGAAGTACTGCAGGGACAGAATGAGACAGACTTGCGACATTTATTGCCAGCGCCTGGAGTATTTCCGTGATCTTCTGTTGGCAATATTTCAACGGAAGTCCGCTATAGTCTTTTAAGCACCTCTTTTCAAAGTGCAGCTGTATTGCACAGAAAAATACTTCGATGCCTCTGGTTCTTCGGGCAGAGTTTGCAGGATGTCTGTTGCGTCTGCTCTCAGAAACGCGGTGTAAAATGGCAGGCCTTAGTTTTGGAATTCCGTCCCTTGCATTTCCACTATATCTTGCTTGCCATGGTTTTTCATCATACGCGGATAGCTTTAGAGAGTGACGGGAAAACAAAACTATGAATTTAAAGACGTCAGAATTGTGTTCAGCTGTCATTATGAATTTCTTGAAGCGGTCAACTCCCTTGGCGACAGCAGCAGAAACTCTTTCAATTTCTCCATCTTTATATTCAACCGTGTCTATTCGGTGCTCCATAACCTCGAACTTGTTTTCTGTTATGGCAGTAATTTATCTTTTCCTCTCCTCTTGAACTCCTCCAATCGTTTTGGGAAGCTTCCATATTTTCTTGGACCGATTTCGTCATTTCTTGAACTGGTTTCTTCACTTCTTTAACGGAGTTGATGGGCAGTTCCATCTGCTCCTGAAGTGCAGTAAACGAGCTCCCCAACTATCTTAGTTGTCCTTACTTGTACAGCTCTTAGTATGACAGAGCACAATCAATTGTTGTCACTTAAATATACTAAAGACGTTAAACACAAAACTAAAAAAAAATCCTAATCTGTAAGCTCCCCCAGTAATCTTTCAGTACCCTCTGAGTTAAACTTTGAACTCAACATTCAA